AATGTAGGTCATATACTGAGTGCAGGATGTGGCAAACCCTTTTAAAGAAGAAAAAATGGGATCCTGGTAAATAAACATGAGATTTAACAATACAGGAATTCCTTAAACTTTCTTGTTGTCCCATAACAAGTCACTCCTGCTGCTTCCTCTTTGGAGAGGAAGAGGAATGACTGTTCCAGCAGCACTGAATTCCTGAACTCCTGCCCCCTGGCATCTCCCAGCCCTGACAGGGATTCCATCTGTCCTCCTCTGTACCTGTAGCATGTGTCAATTATTTATCTCCTCTTCCTCCATGCCACACAGGGATTGGATTGGATTAGATTGGATTGGATTGGATTGGATTGGATTGGATTGGATTGGATTGGAAGGAATGCTTTAAAGATAGCAAGTGCCTATGCTTGTGCAGCTGAGCAACAGAAGGTGGCATGGCTCTTCCTGCTGAACCTTCTAAAGAAACATTTTAAATGAGCACACAAGAAACTAATACTAATTAATAATGGTATTCTGTGGAGACCTGTGGTGGAGGCTGCAACAGTGCATTAGCAAGCCATGCATAATTCAGCAAGGCTGAATTCTTTCAGACATCATCTGCAGGGAATTTTGCACAAGTATGGACTGGATAATTTGTCCCTTTGTGTGCATGTGTAAGTGTTCCTGAGGGCATCGTTTGGCCTGCAGAGCCCCTGTTACTGGAGGTGCTGTTCAAGAAAGGGAGCATCCATTCTGAGTCTTAGAAACCAAGCTGGGATGATAGGATGGGTTTTCAGAAGGTTGTCCTCCTTGTAAACAGATACTAAACGTGGACCCCTGTAATGGGATTTTTACTTTTTTCTCCTCTGTGCAGGTACTTTTTGAAAAAGAGTTGCAAAAAATGGGCAGTTCTCAACAGACCAAGTTATAAACCAGCATTTTTCAATGGCAGCTGAGGCACAGGCATGTGAAAAGATGCATTGGCACCTAACCAAGTGGTCTGGCTGTGTAGCCTCATGTCATGGAGCTAAATCTACCTGCTGAGCTGCTGCTAGAGTGAGTTGTCAGAGCTTTGTGTTCTCTTCTCCTGCATGGCAAAGTTAAGATAAGGGGGAATGTATTTTATCTCTCTGCTGGAGCAGGATAAAGACATGTAAGTGGGACTACTAAGGATGAGGACATGTAAGTGGGACAACTGAGGATGACTCAACTGACAAGAATTAGCTGCTACATTAGCCTTTTATATCTTGCCCTGCCTCTTATTTTCAGAGGGTTGTTAACCTGGTCACCCCTAGTAAGGCTAATTTGTGTGTGAATCTGGAGACCCTTAGTTTGGGTGCTCATAAAATAGAAAGATGACATGCTAATGGGACTTCATGCACATTTGATAGGGTACTATTTTGTCACTGCTGCTTTGTCAGCAGAAACAGCAGATGGGATTGCAGAATGCCACTTTTTGCCACCAGTCCTGGAAGTCCTGGAAGGATTTGTGTTCTCCCTGTGCCACTGCATATTGTTATGACTCAGTTGCAGCAATGAAGATGTATTTGTGCTCATTGCAAATACTTACAGAGTAGCAGGGCATAATTGTCCCTCTGCAAGCATCTCTCTCTAAACTATTGTTTCAAACTGCCAGCCACATCTTTGTTCTTTATTAAGACTAAGGCAGCAACACAGAGTCTGTAGGTATCAGGAGATAATCATTCCCCAAGGGCATTCGAAACACTTCACAACCAAAAGGTTGTGATTACTCCACAATTGCTATACTGCTTATTATTCCTTATTGCTTAATTATGGAATCAGAGTGTGTTTCCTGGATGCTGTCATCTGAATAAGATTCTCCACTTCTCATGCTCTGCTTCAGTGGGCTGGAAACCTCTGTAGATGCACAGGATGGCCACAGGGCAAGCCAGTTCTGGAAGCCCTGCTGACCTTTTGGGAGACCATAAACAGGGCTGTGTATCTAGAATAGAAGAAATAGAATGGATTTTCTCTGAAGTGAATGGCCTGTTTGTGTGGAACCCACAACCTTGGTGTTCCTGCACCATGTTTTACCCAGCTGAGCTCATCCCATCTCCCTGGTTCAGTGAGTCTCACATGACTTGCTCCCTTTAAAGGAAATGTACTCTTGTGGCTTCACACTGGAAGATAAAAGTAGAAAGTGTGGTCTTTTCCAGGCCTAGAAATCCACCCTGAATAACTGATTTTGTGAAATCTTGGATTTAATGCTTCATTGAATCACGAAATCTACTCTGAGGAAGGGGAAAACCATTCAGTGTATATTTTAGCTTTAGCCTTGATTTTTTTGAGTGTATCCATTCACAGGAAGATGAGAAGATGGGTGATAAAACTCAAATTTCTAAATCATCACCTAAATTTCCAGGTAAAACACCCTCTGAACTTAATTCCTTAAACTTGTTTAAATTCCTTAAACTATTTCTTATTCAAGTTTTTGGAAACTTGAATAAGAAATAGACTGGATGAAACTACCTTATAACCACAAGCTTGGCATAAAGTTTGCTTAATGAGATGCCTTTTAAGTCAGCACTTGATTTTTTAAATGCCCCTTTTCATTGCTGAAATTCAAACATTAACAGCACCTTCCATTGTGGCTCTCTGTGCTAGTGTGGGTCCTCTGTCTTGTGCAAGAGGCTGCCTGCAGTCCTGCTGGCAAGCTCTTGTGCCATAAAAAGAATTTGTTCAGCAAATAAAAATGTATTGTTTTCATTGTTAGAGGATGCTACTTAATTGGCTGTATGTTTGTCTAATAATCACATCTAAAGCTGATTATTCTCATAATAGCCTTAAGATATTATTTAAAAATAAATATATAAATGCACAACTTTTGTACTAATACTAGTTTTTAATCTCTTCTTGTTTCTATGAAGTCTGAATGAGATTTTCAAAATTGAATAATAATTTGATCCGTTAATCTTTTGAAGCTAGTAATTTTATTTTCCCCTCTTTGCAGTCTCTGAGGCTCGCAAATGAATAGAGCTTCATTACTGGAGTCTGCATTTAATAACCATTATCCATTATCTTGTAATTAAGACTCCCTGTAACGAATCATGAGGACAATGCAAAAATACATAGTACATTTCTTTAATGAACTGGAAAATGTTCATCTTGTTCTATTTAGTAATGAGTTGCTGAATAGTCGTTAAATCCACTGGAGAATAGAACTAGATGGATTTTGAAGACTATCTTGAGTTTGTGGTTAATCTATTAGAATTAAAATTTCATCTTCTATTTTTATCAACAGCTGATTAGAAGTCATTCTGTTTGACCAAATTGATTAGAGGACCATATACAAGGGCAGCTGTTGTTTAATGAAAGTTTTTAATGAAACTGTACCATAGAGACTTGTAATTATAAGACTTATAAAAGCTTTGACTTACCTTATAGCAGAAAAAAATGAGAAGTATTGCACTGAAGGACTTTAAGTGCTACATTTCGAAAGGGAAATTAAAAATATAATTTGGTGATGTTGAAGTTACACTTGCACTGCTCCTTGTTTTAATGCGACTATCAGATGTCTGTGGTGTCTCTCTGGAAGGGAGCAGCTCTGAAATGTGCAAGTCAATTGTCTCTCCTGTGTGCTCCATTCTCTGCAAAGCCCTATCAGCTATTAATTGCCTCTTTTGCACGTTGCACTTTCTGTGGAGTTGGGACCTTTCCTGAAAATTGCTGTTTCTCTCCAGAATGGGAGCTGTCACAGGAGGGTGCAATTGAATCACCATGGGCTGACATGGTGCCTGGTCAGGAAGTCTACAGAGAAAACTGTGTGTTCTCAGAAAACCCAGAGTTGGTGGTGCCATTGGGTTGTGTGTTCTCAGGAACCCCCAAAGCTGGTGGTGCCATTTGGTTGTGTGTTCTCAGAAACCCCAGAGTTGGTGGTGCCATTTGGTTGTGTGTTCTCATAAACCCCAGAGTTGGTGGTGCCATTTGGTTGTGTTAAAGCCAGAGGAGCACGCCTGGCTTTGTGCTGCCTTGCCCCCAGCTGCGTGCCCATCAGCTGTGCCATCAGGGGGGCTCTCCCTGCACTGTGCTGCAGCTCGCACCATGTAGTCAAGGCAACTCCTTGCTTGGAGCCAGTGCTGAAACTTCCCTTCCCTCCTCCAGGGGATGTTGTAGAGGCGTCATCGTTCACATAAGAGGCAAAACGGACCCCAAGCCAAATTTGAAGTGGAAGCAGATGCAGTTCCAATTGACTTAAGTGGATGATGCGCTACTACATGATGTTTGAATTATCCCTCTTCTTCTCCCAATTACTTTTGATAATTAATGATCCCACAGTACACCTTTTCTAAGAAGTAGGTTCCTAGGGGTGAAGTGCGTCCTAATGAAATTAAAGAAGTTTTGTCATTGTGTTCTGTCAATGCTGGATCATGCCTTGCAAGGCACATTATGTTTTTTGTTAGTTGCTTAGCTTTTTGTTACATTGTGCTTCAGGATTTCTTTCAAGCCAAGGCAGAGCAGCAAGAATGCACAAGAATGTTACACAACTTTTAAGGTAGGCAGTGGAGAATATTACTCACCAGTGAAAAAACAGGAAAAAATAAGCCAAGGCTAACTCTTGTTCTTTAAAGAACGCAGATGTTTTGACCTTGTTGCTGCATTAAATCAGACCGTGGATTTAAGTACAGTAACTTGCAATGTTACAATTGCTAAATGCATAAAAGAGGAGTTTTCCCTTGGTTTACAGTGCTACACAGCTGGTTTAGTAAACACATATGAGATATCTTTCCCTTCTCTTAAAAACAGCTGCAGGAGATACAATAGCAGACTGTCAGACGTGAGACCGAGTAGAAGCGAAGTTAAATGAAAAAAACCTGATGCAAATAATTTCTATTCTCAAAGATCCTTGTGGAAACACTAAAATGTTGATTTATGTACACCACAGGGACATATGTGTAAAGGAATGCTTCAGAATTGCTGTGAAGCAGGAGGGCATCTTTGAGGCTGTGAACCTGTATGTGCAGAGGGACCCTTGTTCTAAAACTGTTACAAAACATTTTATTTCCTTTCAGGTTCTGATTTCATAAAGACATCTACAGGAAAGGAGGTGGAAAACGCGACCTTTCCCGTTGGCATAGTCATGATGAGAGCCATTAAGGAGTACTACTGGCAAACTGGCTACAAGGTAGGTCTCATTTCCTCTGTAAAAATTAACCAAAGAAATAAGAATGTAATAGGATTGATTTGCTAATATTAGTATTTTTTTTTTTTTACTTTTTGGTTTCCTGCCTTGAAGAACTGGAGAACTGTGATTTCATTCCATAAAATCTCATGCAATCAAAGCCATCCCTGCTGCATCTGGATTTGAATTTTTTCATCATTTAGGTGGTCATGTCCATTAATAACAGGGCTAACAGTGGCTGACATGGTCCCAAAAACATCAGCAGAGCTATACAAATGTAGAGCCATTGAGTCTGTCCAATGTACACATTGTGGGTTTATCCTTTGCTCTAAGCCATAAAAACCCCTTCTAACTCGCACACCCTTTGCCTCCTTGGTTAGCCAGTAAGACTGGCTCAGCAATTCTTTTCTTCTATGTCAGAACTTGCTTCCATCTCTATTCCTTCATCAGACTCTTCATTCAAAAATCTTTCTGCCAAGCACACACATCTGTGAGACTTTCTTGTCAAACTTTCATCCTTCCCAACAGTTCCCACTCCTTTCCCCTCCTACCTCTTTCTCTGCCACACAATAATTGGAGCAGCTCCAATGGTCTTGTTTTTGTGGGGGCAGCATCCACTGATGTCCCTGGGACCAGCAACCCCCCTGGGCACCAGTGCTGGGTGCCACAAGCTGCATTAGCCCAGCTTTGTCCCCATAATTGGATATAAATGTTGAATTCACCTTTTGCTTTCAAAGGAGGCATTCACGGTATGAAATGCGTTATTAAGAGTAAGTGCTTGTGTCCCTGTGCATGTGTGTGCCAGTGAATTAGATGTAAACTGACTTCATGCACTTTTATTAACTGAAGACAATATTATCAGTGGCAAGAAATTTCTAAATGGTTTCTTTAACAAACTAATTTTGCTGCTGTAGGGATGCTTTCCAGCAAGGCGTTGCCTGGGAAAAGCAGGTTAATACAGAAATTAAACTTCTTCAAGGAAAGGAACAAGTTGCAGAGTAACATTTATTGACTGATAAGCTGTGGTGGTGATATGAAAAGTGTGCAATATAATGGGAAATAATCTTTTCCTGTCATTATTGAAGGACATACATAAATTGGTTTTTCTGTTGGGAAAACCCCCAATCCAGAAAAACTTATTACTTTTAATAATGTAAGGTGAAGAGAAAATTCTTGAGGAGATGAACTTATTAAGCAAAATAATGAAATACTGTGAAACAGCAGGAAAGTGGTAGCTGGACTTTGTACTGCTCTTGAATTAAATTCCAACCCCCCTTCCCTTTTACATTTTTATGGCAGTCAGATGTGCTGTTTGGAAAGCTGGTAAATGGAGGAGAGGACAGGCTTGTCTTTGTCAGCTTTTTTGCAAAGAAAAGAGCTTTCAGAATCTGCTGAAAGGGTAAAGAGTTCTGAATGATGGTTTTAATTCTCTTATTAACTCTGTTTCACTTGTTTTTGCCACAGATTATCTCAAAGAAACGTCGTATTTCTGGGAAGAAATCTAAATTCAAATTTCATTAGAATTTCTCTTCCTGGGGGAAAGCACATTCCAACTGTTTTTGTTTGTTATCTAGAGGATGCTTTTCCAGTTGCTGGGCTTTAAATTCTTTTTGGAAGTCTAACATTAACAGATGTATGCATACACTCCCACATCTATTTGTCCATCCACAAAACCACAGTTTTCGTAGCTTGGATTTATCAAGCTTTTCCTGCTTTTGTTCCTTTTAATCTTATTGGAAATACGCCATTATCAAAATGCTCCAGCACGAGAGAAGGATTTACTCTGTGTTTGTTATTCCTGAAATCACTATATAAAAAAGATTACCAAACACATTTTAAAAAAGATACTTTCTGATTCCACTATTATGTCCATAAGGCACAAAGAAATCCTCAGTGCAGTGAGGTTTTGGGAGCTTGAATACAAAAACAAAATGATAATTCTTGCAGAATGTAAAGGCAGAAGGAAACACAGGAAGAATCAATGTATTGTTCAGATTTACCTTTTTATACACAGGAAGAATTTTTCCTGAATCCCCTTGCTTTTCAAGAGTTTAGGTACCTGCTACAGGCCAACATTTTGGCATTTTTGATGAGGGGTTTGATAGCTGAGTGTCACAAGCTCTGTCTTATGTTTAAATGGCGCATAACCAAAGGACTGGCATTAGGGATGCATGCCAAGTACACAGCAGGTCCATCATGAGATTCCAGACATGCTTTACCTCAAATATAAGTTTTACTTGGTGTTTGTGCCTTTGCAGATGTGGCAGTTCACCTTCAGATATGACACACATCCAACACAGAGGGACTGAAAGCACACCCAGCCTGTGGTGGGGGACAGACCTTTAGGTTTTTGATAAAGACAGACATAATTTAACTCCCATTTGGAAAATTTTAGCGAAAATTAAACCTCTGATAGGTTTGAATGCACAGCCAAATCATGTGTAACTGTGCTGCACAGGCTTTTTATAAAATACAGTCAGTTCTCACTGCTGCCCATGAGCCAGCCACCTCCACATGCAGCATCTTTAGAGTTGTGCTATTGTTGTATATTTATTGTTCTGTGTTTGGAGTTGTGATATAGAAGAATAATATATGTGTAAATTAACAATTGCTGAGCCAGTCTTGCTGGACAGCTAAGGAAACAAATGTTAAGTCAAGTTGGAAAGAGATTTAAAGACTTAGAACAAAGGATAAGCTGGCCACAAACAAAAAGATGTCTTTGCCAAGCAGAAAGATACCACAGGCAAACAAGACATGCCAATGTGGCAGGTAAAAAAAAGGTCTAAGAATTTCCCACTGCAAGAAAACTGAAAAACAACTTTAAACTTAAACTGTAACATACTAACTCATGTGATTGGATAGTATTAGCCATAATATGGTAATGATAGTAGTTATGATGGGCTATAGGTAAAAGTAAAGGTATAGATTAGTTCTTGATGCTCAGCAAAGAAAAGTATATAATGCAATGTAACCAGAATTAAGAGGGTCTTCAGGCTTGGCTGCAGCTGGAGATGACTGCTGTAGGCACAGGCTCTCACCCACAACCCTGGACTGCTGTAACCTCTTGGTTCCAATAAAGTGCATTTTGAAGAGCTGCCTGGAGTCCCACATCTCTCTCCAGGCTCTTACTCAGGTCCTTCCCAGGCAGAGCTGTTACATCACAGGCACTTTGAGACTGCAGCTCTACAAACATTGACTGCTCTTCTAGGGTTGCTGATGGATGAAAATGTGTATTCAACTGTTTTTTTAATTTTTTTTTTCCTCTCTCTCTAAAGGTTGGATTCAAACCTGCAGGAGGCATTAGGACAGCCAAGGAAGCAATTACCTGGCTCATGCTGGTGAAGCAGGAGCTGGGAGTGGAGTGGCTGACCCCAGAGCTCTTCCGCCTGGGTGCCAGTAGTTTGCTGGGAGACATTGAGCAGCAGGTTGGTTGTTGGCAGCTCCACAACTCATGAAGAGCAAAAGCAATCATTCTAAAAGTGCTGGCTTACTGCTTCTGCAGAAATGGAACATCCCTCTAATTCATTATTAGTGACAGGTTCACTTCCAGCTCAGTGTTTATTCAAGTTTGAGCTGTCCTTACAGACATCTGGGGCTCTGATGTTGGGGCAGCTGATCATGGTCTAGGCCATGTTTGAAGGGTAAAATTTTACAAAATTTGGGCCAAAAGGGCTCAGTTTGTGCATGTACAGAGTCTTTTCAAATGCATGGCTATCAATGCTGGGAGCCCCCGAGGCCAGGAATAATGTGCTCTGATTCCATGATTCAGAACAATTGCTTTATTAAAACTGTACTATATTACGCTAATACTATATTAAATTACATACTAAAGAATACTATACTAAAGAAAGACCTGTGACTGTCTGAGACAGTCAGGACACAGCTTTGAGTGATTGGCTACTCACTCAAAACAACTTTCACCTGTGTCCAATTAACCAAATCACTTTGGTGATTAGTTAAATCACCATAACATTCAGAAAACACCATGACACATAACAGAAAATCAAATCACCATAACACATAACAGAAAACAATCTCCATAACACATTCCACTTGTGGAAAACAACAGGAGCACTGAACAGAGATCAGAATTGTTTTCTCTTCTTCTCTCTGTGCTTCTCACTGCCTTCCCCAGGAAAAATCCTGGGAGAGAGAGAATTATGTCTCTCTCAGTTCAGAGAATGTGAATGCCACACCTGGCAGTGTTCTGCTCCTCACTCCCAGCTGTGGCTGAGCCTCAAAGACCCCTGTGTCACTGTGCCACTACTCTTTACAGTCTGTTTCCGTCCTGTGGAGAAAGTCACATCTCATCCTACGTATGGGTGCTGCTGACAGAGGATTTTTTACATGTTGAAGAAGTTCCCAGTGGGAAGAAAGATTCTGACCTATCTATCCATGATCTACATCAGTGGCACAGGGTATCAGCCCCAGAGGATGCAGTGTAATTGGGAGCAGTGTAGTGTCATTGGAACTACCAAACACATGAAGGCTTTTGGTCCTGACTTTCATGTTCATTAAGCCCAGGAGAGGAAGTGATATTACCTTTTACCAAGAAAAATATCTGAGAGTCATTGTCCTGTTGCTGCTGCTGGGAAAACATGAGGTATAGGGGCTTTGGGGGAGGACAAAACCACCAGCCTTTTCCCTTTCCTCACATTTCCTAGCAATTGAAATACTGACATGTTTTAAGAAATGTTCTAAGAACAGCTTAGAGATGTCAGGTTAATATTCATGACTGCTGAAAACCCCTGGCTCACTCCTGCAATGAGAATAATATTGTCTTGCTCCCTCTGCCTCACTTTTGACCTAAAATTATGTCCCTGGTTATGAGAGAGCAGCATGAGCTTTCTCTTTGCCACTGCCATCACTGCTGGGTGTTAGAACACAGCCACTGATTGTGTTGCATCATTTGCTCTGATTCCTTAAGGGTTTTATCCTTTATCTGCCAGGGATTGCACAAATGCCCCAGCCATGACCAAAGCTCTTGCTGTTCTGTGCTGTCTAAAAACATGGAAGATAAAATGTCCCAGTCATTATATTCAATAAAACAAACATACTGGAAGAGTCAGAACCAGATGCCAGAGGAAAGCATTGGTTTCTACTCTTTTTGAAATCTTAGCTAAGAGCAGCAAGAGTCTTTGCTTTTTGCTTTTTCCTTCCAAACATAGCAGCAAAAACCCTTAGTTCGTATTCTACAAACAAAAATATATTAAGGGGTATTACATCATATTTTATGCACGCACACAAACAAATATCTATCATCCTCATCTGGCATGCCTTTAATTCGTTACTTCCTTGACACTTGCAGCTTTATAGTCATATATAATTCCATCATAAATTTTCTTTTTTTCTTGCAGATTTTCTATCATGTGACTGGCTCTTATCCACTTCAGCATGAACTGGCAATGGCTTAGACACAAAACCAACTCAGGATTACTTTTACAAAAGAGGACTTTAAGCAAACAGCATTCAGAAGTCTTCTGACAACCCAGTGCATATGATAGAATTAAAGGCCTAATTCTCCCTTCTTCATAGTTCATGGTATTTAAAAATATGCTCAAGTCTGCTGGTTGTACTTGATCCAAAAGCAGGAAAAAAGTGGCATTTCTGAAATAGTTAAATAGTTAATACATACAGATTTGCAAAGTTAATCTTGCAAAGTTCTTCAGACCAGCCTGAAAAGCTTATTAATGGCAACACTGAAATACTATGAAAAAGATTTAGGTGGCCTGGTAACACTTTGCATTCTCAGAATATGAAATATGTATGGAATGTTTCAGATTGCTAATTAAGAGCTACTGATCTTGGAATGGATTTCCATTCACCTCAGACAAAATCTTCTGGCACAGATGTGTTGCACTATTAATTCTTCTGTTGATTCAGTCTCAGGCATTGTAAGGGGAAAGAAGAATGAAACTTGGCTATTATTTCTCTTTTATCAAATCTCTTCTGTACAAAAAAAAAAAAAAGCAACCAGAGCTCTTTTTTATTTTTTCTATTTTCCCCCCCAAACTTGGGCACAGACATCCATATTTAGGCCCTTGAATAAAAGTGGCTTGATTTCTAGAACAGCTGAGTACCCACAGTTGCTCCTGAAGTTAATGGGAGCTCTGGGTGATCAGAACAACTGAAAATCAAGCAGTCTCTATATAGGTGCCTAACTATGCATTCAGGGGCCTATTTTTAGGCATTTCACTCTTAAAAATTTTAGTCTAACTTGCTTAGAAGCTCCAGTTCCTGTCTCCTGTCATTTTAAAACACATTCATGCAAATCTTTCCATTTTAATGTAGGGGGGTTGGCTGTCAGTTTGCAGGTGTCACTGCTAGGCTGGCTGAACTTCAACTTTGCCATTCCAAAAGAAATACATGAATTTAAAAGATGATCTGAATTGTGTCCTATGCAGGGTTTAATGCTTTAATGCAAAAAAATGTGCTTTTTTCAGAGCACATTAAGAACAATACCCAAATCACCAACACCTTTTGAATATCAGACTGGAGCTGGTAGATTCATTTTATCAGAACTGCATTCTGCTCACTAACCAGAGTTGTACTAAAAACTTAATTATCTTATCATCATGACTAGTCTCACTGACTTAAGTAGGTCTCATCATGGAAGTGAGAGGAGGAGGAGGATTTTGCTGTAAATCAAGCTACAAGGCGCATTTATTACAAAGAGATTTATTATAAAGATAATAACTCTGTTATTTATCTGGCTGTATCACCTGAATCACTAGAGTGCTACAAAAAACCTTGGACAGATAGGAAAGCTGATTAGGGGGAAAAAAAATCAAGAAAAACAACATATACAGAAAGCAAAATCCTATATGAAGTGCTCAGGATTAAAAATGGGCCTTAATTTCTCAGGAAATAGTTCATCCAAGGCTTTCAGCCTTTTTCTGCTTTAGATCTCAACACAGAAGGTGAGGCTGAGCTGTGACTCTGTTTTCACGTTTGTTTTCCCCTAAATAGCCCATTTTTACCATGACTTTTCCTTCTGATTTCATTGCCAATTTCATCAAGGAAAAATCCAAGTGCCTGCCTGCACATGGAGGGGAAAATTCAGCTGTGAGCTTTGTGAAATACAGAGCTTCTTATGAGAAGTCAGCTCCCCCCAGGTTTGTGCCAGTCTGACCCTCCCAGCCACCACACACTGGATTTTGCTGCTGTTTAGCTCAATAAATGCTATTAAGTGTTATAAATGTCCATACTTTCATAGTGGGAAGTAATGCCACTTGCAAACCACACTTTTTATGTTGTCACTTGTCTTTAGGACAATCAGGGTGATGATAAAAACTAATTTTTTTTGGAGATGCTTTAGTTTGTAGGTGGAGGACTCTGTGTAGTACCTTAAAATGAATGGGGGTTCAACTTTGCCACCTGACTGTGTAAGGTGAGTCTCAGAACAGCCTCACTGTCTCCATGGGGGCTGTGCTGATGGAAGAAGTTGCCAGGAGAAATTCTGTCAGCAGTTTTGGTGTGCACGTGGGCTGCTGGTGGTGACTCCAGGGGTGACAGCTCTGTTTGCAGAGAGGTTCCTGAAGAGTTGAGGATAGCCACTTCCCTTCTCCATGAATGTTAAAACACTGTGAAATACTGTGCAACTCCAAACTTCTCTGTTTTCACAGAAGCTAGGTTGAAATGTAGTTTGTACATTTTTTCTGTTGAAACTTTTTGTGAAAAAAGAAAAAAAAAGCAGCAGAGTCTGTAAACACATTCAAATAAAGATGATTCTGGTTTGGAGGTTGTTCTTTTTCGGGGAGTGAGCAGAAGGCTCAGTGTTTCAGAGCAATTGGTTGTCTTTGTTTGACTCCATGGTGACTGAAGTTATATTCACATTATCTGTGAGCCACCAACACCACCCAGAGCCTTGTGTCTCACCCCTCCTGCAGAAGCTGCTGCTACCAGCCAGCAATTACCCTGCTGGCAGCCCTGGGGGTGTCAGGGGTTGAACATGAGCCAGGGATGCCACCAGGAGCAGCAAGGGACCAGGTTGATCCAAGGGGCCACTGCTGCCGCCTGAGCAGGTGTGGGATCATCCTGGGATGGGGCAGGGCTGGAGACCAGCTGAGCTGAGCTCAGTGGGGCTGCTGGGCAGGGCCAGGAGCATCCTGGGCTTGTGCCAGCACTGAGAGAGCCAAGGACAGGGACTCCCTTCATTTCTGAGCTGAGGATGGAGGTGGCATGGCAGGATCTTCATTGCCACCCCCAAGGAGCTGGGAGTGCTCACAGTGTGGGCTCCTGGGATTGCTGCCCTTCACCCCAACCCTTCCCTGCCCTTTCTTCCATCTCTCCCATCTTTTTCCTGCTGCTCTTCAGCTGAGGTTTGTGGAGGCTGCAGCTCCTGGGAAGTGTGGAGGGTGCGGTGCTCCATCGCTGCACAGACTCTGGGAAAAGTTCACATTCAGTTCTGCACTTCAGGCCATTAGAAAAGGAACAGGCAATTATGCACTCGTGTCTAAATATATTTCAGAGTGTAACATATGTTTTGTGCAAGTCAGTCTTGTATACTAATTTATTATTTTTATAACACTTATTCATTTAGGATTTTAAATAGCTTCGTTTTGTAGACCACGTTACTTCGCGAAGAAGAGAATAAATTCAAGAAGAAAGTAAAGTAGAAGCTGCAAATCTAGAATATTCTGCATCAGCTTATTTACTAGAAGAGGGAATTGTGTGAGAAGGTAAGCTTTTTTCCTGGTTTGTAGGAAACAAAGATATTAAATAGTAATTATATGTGAAGTGCACATATCAGCTGGGGCAAGTAATACTTTGATATCTTTATTTCATCAGTCATATAGTTCATTCTTTCATTTCCTTTGTGAAGCAGGGAACATACATTATATACCATAGCACATGCCACTGAGACAGAAAAATCTGATCTACTTTTAATTTTATTTTGCTCACTCGGAACTTTGGCTCCTTGCTTCTCTTGGGGAGAAAAGAAACCTCACGAACAACAACAGCAAGTTTTATTCAAATCTTGGTGAGCTTTTGCTGAAATCACAGCTGGATGATAGGTATTGTGTGGGATAGGAGTAAAAGGAACTGCTTTTATTTAGATGCAACCTGTCCACAAGAGAAAGAAAATTGTCCTTCTGGTCAGTCCTTATGTAACAGGGAGAAGAGTGTTCTTATTATGTAAAGACACCACTGGTAAAATTACTGATTGCCTATTACTATTAAAGTCACAGAAAGTCAGAACCATCCTAAATTAGGAGGTGAAAAGGCTTAGAAAGAAGCAACAAGAACGTTTGCAGCCCTTGCACTCTCTAAAAGCAGGAGTAAGCGGATGATGGGTGCAGAAAAATACAGCAAAGCATTCCTGAGGCATGAAAGTTTCAGATCTCTGAGATCACAGGGAGCGTTTGAAAACACCGAATTGAGGAAGCATAAATTTAAAATTGCTTCTTTAGCTGAGATGAAAACAAAGGGCCTCCCAAACAATGTTAACAAACTGAGGAAGCCATGCTGGAAATGACTACACTTGTTTTTTCAAGCCCTGCTTTCTGTGAGGAAGGAGAAGAGGAATCTCAGACATCACAGGATGGGTTGGGTTGGAAGGGAGCACAGCTGCCATCTCCAGCAGGGCCATCCCAGAGCACACAGCACAGGATTGTGTCTGGAATATACCCAGTGAGGGAGACTCCACATGTTCTCCAGGCCATCTGGTCCATGCTTGGTCGCTGCACAAGAAAGTTCTTCCTTGTGTCCATACAGAACTTTCAGAGCATCAGTTTCTGCCTGTTGCCTCTTGTCCTCTTGCTGGGCACACCTGGTCCATCCTCTGACACTCTCCCCTCAGATATTAAAGACATTGGAGAGGTTTTCTCTCAGTCACCTCTTCCTCAGGCTGAACAGGCCCTTTGCAGGCTCAGCTGGTGCAGTACACCACAGTAACCGCACCCTAAGATAAATAATGATCTGCCCAGAAAGATGAGGGAAAGCTTCATAACCTGTTTTTCCGATTTCAGTAATAGCACGGGCTCTGCTTTTATGCAAAGTCTTAGAGGAGTTCTTGTCGCAGACATCTTTTATGAAAAATCCTTTCCTTAGGATCTTTCCTCCTGAGAAGCTGAGAGGCCTCAGGAACAAAATGTAAACAATGGTTATCTGCTGCTGTGGAATGCAACAGGTGCATCTGTGATTGGTCTCATGGGGTTGTTTCTAATTAATGGCCAATCACAGTCAGCTGGCTCGGACAGAGAGCCGAGACAGAAACCTTTGATATCATTCCTTTCTATTCTATTCTTAGCTAGCCTTCTGATGAAATCCTTTCTTCTATTCTTTTAGTATATTTTTAATGTAATATATATCATAAAATAATAAATCAGCCTTCTGAAACATGGAGTCAGGTCCTCATCTCTTCCCTCATCCAAGAACCCCTGTGAACACCGTCACCAATTCTCACCTCTTTACTAGTTAACAGGACAAGCAAACGAGCAAAGCAGCCAACCAGCTCCCTCCCTATGCCTGGGCCAAGGCTGTTTTTGGTAATCCCATGGGTTAGGGGTCCCTGCCACTGTCCCAAATTGGGGAGCAAGTGGAGGAGCTGGGTGGGTGAGCTGCACTCTGAGCCTGCCAGCCCCTGCTCTCCCTGCCTGACAGGCTGCCCTGGGGCTGCAAAGTGCTGAAATTCTCTGTAGATTACTGATCCACTGAGAACTCTTCTTTTTTCCACCCTAAAGCTCAGACCTGAGCAAGCAGCTCCTTAGGAGGAGGTGAGGAAGGCGTGTGCTCCGTGATTTAATTTAATTACACGTAAGATGATTAAGGATGTTATCTCCATTTCCAGGGGAAATGAAACATTCAGCCAGCATCATGTCAGAAGGCTGGCACGTCTCAGTGCTGGCTGCTTTTTGCAGAGTCTGGGGCTTTCTTCAAAGCACAGGCTGACCCAGAGAGTGATTTCTTGGTGGAACTTCCTTAAAGGCACGAATTGAAACAGAGC